GCTGGCCGTATGAGGACGCTCAAGGTCGCTCAGCGAGCTATGGAGAGGGCTATGCTCGGAGTTTCTCTGCGTGATAGACTCAGAAATGAGGATATCCGCAGTAAAACCAGAGTGACCGACATAGCCCAACGGATTAGTAAGCTGAAGTGGCAATGGGCCGGCCATATAGCTCGAAGAACCGATAACCGATGGGGAAGAAAGGTTCTCGAGTGGCAGCCTCGTACCGGTAGGCGTAGTGTAGGGCGACCCCCCACTAGATGGAGTGACGACCTGGTAAGATATGCAGGAAGTCGATGGATGCAGGTGGCTCCGGACCGTGCTTTGTGGCATTACTTGGGGGAGGCCTATGTTCAGCAGTGGACTTGTGAAGGGCTGTGATGATGATGATGATGATGATTATATATTTTACTTACAACACACATACAATATTTACAAGACGCCTCGAATTCTCCTGAACTTATTTCTTTTTGCACGATCCAATCCTTGCATAGAATATCTTGAAGTCACTTATTACGAAATTTTTGTTTATGAATAGGATTTCCAGCAGTTTTTCCCATTTTTAATAAAAACAATTGCGAGTATTCAATAGAAACTTTTATTACAGATCAAACATCCGTATTACAAAAGAATTATTTTGAGAATTCAATAGGAAAGATAATAATAACAAAAGTAGATTAGACGTTGTACATATTATGATCTCATAGACAAGAATATGCGACTCAAACAGTAAAGAGAGAGAATGAAATAAATAGAGTAGTTGATAGTTTTCTATACAGTGTAAGTCTTTATAAAGTGCACATATCAAAACCAGGGAAACTACATATAATTTCATCGAAGGAAAAATTATAAAAGAAAAATTATATTTTTTTTATTTCAAAATTTGAATTTGCTGCTGCTAACCCTATTTAAATTAATTGTTATAACTTTTAAACTGAATTTCCTATCAAAATGGAATAAATTTTTAAATGATTTTTAATAATAAGCCGTGCCAATAAAGCAAAAATACCCAAAAAATGAACGTCATAAAATTAGAATAAAGAGGTTTTTGATGAAAAAGTGGTATTTTTTTTCATCATTTTTAAAATTTCTCGAAAAATCGTCCCCTTAATCCTACTTTTTTAATCTTATGTTATTCTACATCGTATTAGCTTTCTAATGGTAAATAATATTACTCAGATACAACTTTGTTAACTGCACTTTATAAAGACACTGTAAATTCAACAGTAGCGCATCATTTTGGCCGATAAACAGACAAAACAGTTTCCGAGCTGTATTGAAAAGAATTACGTCAAATGAAAATTTACTCTCTCAACTTTTTAAAGAATGTATTGCACATTTTTTCGTATTTTTAAACTAAAAAAAATGAATTAAATTATAATTTATTTTTTGCCGTTTCCTAATTATTTAAATTTCGAAAACAAAACTAAAAAAATAAATTTTTGTTGTCCCGTTAAAAAATCAGTTAGCCGTTAAACACAATTTTTTCCCGTTGCCAACTTCGCTGTCCCTTCAAATCTAACGGGAAACTCGTTAAGTTGGCAACACTGTCTACTTAATATCTGTGGGTTTGAAATATGTTTATATTGGGTGCGTTTGGCAGAAAAAAGCGCTAGCAAGCGCTTGTAAGCAAAATGGCGATCGTAAGCGGTAAGCGCTGTCAAAAAAGCGTGTGTAAGTAGCTATTCCTCTAGGACACGATGTTAGTTTTAACCGGGGAACCTAACCTAGTTTAAATATATGTTTGTAAAGTATTCATATTAAAAACTTACCGATCACGAATTTTTAATAACATGTATATGTTTATTCATGTCAATATATAACTTAAAACTAATATTGCACAAAAACACTTATAAACTCTACTTCAACACAAACAAATTAAATAAGCAAAATGGCGGATTGTGTCAGCGCTACTGAAGTAGCAATCGTGTCCTGGCTGAAAGCTATTTCAGCGCTTTTAAGCGCTTGCTAGCGCTTTTTTCTGCCAAACGCACCCATTGTATGACCTAGATTATTTTCCATATGCAACTTCAATATAATACGATATATTACTTTCCTCTATGATAATCTCGTTCGTCACGATAAAGTAGTCCAAGGGATGATAATGCGTCAAGAAAAAGACAGAAGATGGCGCTCAAATATGCTACTTTTATACTTTAGGCAATCTTTTATGATAAACGAACATTGATTAGGTTATTTGTTATTCTTTAAAATTGCACTAAACAAGATACTTTATAGTTAACGCTTTAATAAAAGCATACTTGTACAATATATACCAGATGTCGTTGATGCGCCATGCAAAAATTTCGCCACGTCATTTTCTGTGATGATTGTCGTAAGAGGTCGCTTCTATGGTAGGAAAAGAGAAAAAGATTTTGTTTCTTGTAACAGATGGCGGCATAACCATTTTATTTTTGCTACATGTAAAATACCTAATTGAGCGAGAACAGAATATAGATTAGTTTTTAAGAAGACGTAGCAAAGGTCTAAGGGTTTAAGAGAAGACATTAAAATACTTCGGTGATAGATCTGCTGATTGCTGGGAGTAAAACTAAACCTTCTTACACTAAAAGAGGTCTAAATCTAGCAGGATACTATAACTGACTGATAAAAAAAGAAACAAGACTGGTTGGTTTCATTGTCAGTCTTATCGCCCTTTATTTAAAACATTGCAATGCATATGTAATACAAGAAAAAATGTGAGTGTGATATTAAAAATAAACAAAATTGTTCATATTTTTATATTCAATATATACCTATCTCAAGGACGGTATAAAATAAAATTAAAACAAAACACAAATTCTGCTAATCACTGACCTCTATATATACAAGTACGCTGGACTGGCTATAAACCGTGACATGATGAAGCGATATGATTTCCGCCATTTTGGCGCTGACAGCAGAAGTGCACGTCCACGGAACTAATAATAGGGATAAGACAGTGTATCAAATTATATCGACAAAAATTCTATACCCTACCTATATCTAAATAAATAGAATGGACTCTATGGATAGATAGACTCTACCCGTAACGTCCATTCTATTTATGTATCATATTAATATAATGCCATTATCATTCATCGTCATTAAAAACCCTTCACAAGTCCACTGCTGAAAATAGGCCTCCCACAAGGAATGCCAAGTTATAGAAAGTTATATATCATTATATTTCAATGATTGTATTATCATTCCTAATTATACAATATAACTGTTCCACATTTTTAACGATATTTCCACAATTATTTCTTCTGCGGCAGCAATATGCAATATGGTACGAGCTAGCAAGATAATATAAAAAAATAAACTTTGAATTACATAGTTATCAGTTATTTACAACGTTATTTTTGAAATTAAAATCACAATATTAAAATAATAACTGAAATCATCATACAGTCCTACTTTCCGTGGTATCGTCCCAAGAATGCTGGCTACGTGTCCTCTCTGAATGGCTATACTTAGCATTCAACGAGGAAGCAACAAACTAAACAACTTCTTATTACCAGCAGTGATGATCAGTCGCAGATACGCAGTTTTTAGGAACTACACCGCACGTGCAACCTACGGATCAGTAGTATCTACAGCAAATAGCACAAATATGTACTCATACTATTACATGCCTGCAATTGAGAGAGAATTAAATCTCTAGATCGCACTTAATAAAACCCCATGGTGTTCTACCTCCACCGCAAATTCTCAGGGCCACGGAAACGCTTTCATGCACATCCGCGGCCCCTCTGGCGCCAGCCGCCCAATGGCAGCTCCTCCTTAGTTGCTGAATTCTCGTCCCCGTTTTCTTTCTCAGATAAGGCGCACCAGAAACAAGCCAAACTGCCCTTCGCGGCCTCTAACTCCACCTGCACTACGGACTCCACGAGCCCGATATGTGAATGGAGCCAGGGAAAAACGAGCACTTGGAAACATCAAGTGGTGCAGCCTCACCAAAGTCGCGAAAGATAGTCGAGTGGCACATCGCCAATCGCCATACTAACACTCCTCTTCCCTTACTACTCCACCTCAACTACAGCAGTACAGGGAGAGGAATCTCCTCTAGCCGCAGCCCACTAACACACATCCAACGTGGCTCGACATCAACAGGCGACCTTTCGACACCTTCGACTTTGGCTGTGGCCCTTGAGTTTGGTGGAAAATGAGGAAAGAAGAAATAAAAAACATTCCAAATAATAATCTAATACTTTTATACTTACTGGTGTTGATATTACTAGAAAATATTGTCGGTATACTGCACTTTTTCAAAGTGGTACAGTTCTCATATCTAATAAAACAGTCGTCTGTGAAATGTTTCGAACAAATATGATCATTTTGTTTCGGACGCCAATTCACAATATTTATGCTTTTAAGCCATAATTTTAGTCTAGGTTCTGTTGGAAACCTGTTAATTAATAAACATTTGATAATCATCTGTTGTTGGCGACTTTGTTTGTTAACAGATATGGGTAGGAAAGAACATCGATAAGTATTATAGACAAGGAACTCGACAACCCTATTGAATGTTATTGTTTATCAAAACTCAGTAACATACAGCCAAACATGTTGGTATATATAATATTAAGATTAGTAACAAAATTTTAAGTACTTATATTATCAAATAGTTTTAATTTGTTAAATATTAGCTGCAAATTCACTTACTTGTGTAATGTTATACGACTTCCCTTTTGGTAACGAGTTTTACAGATTACGCTCATTCTCATTATTATTAAAAATAATTTTTAATATGTAACTAATATTATACACAATCAAACAACATAAAATACTTTCGTTTTTTTAGTTTAAAAGTTCAAAATAGAGACTTTTTAAATATGACAATATAAATAAGACAACAGACTTTGGCATATTATGTCAATTTTATTTTTCAAGACATTCTTTAGCGGCGCTTCAAATTGGCACAGTCATTTTGTATGGTATAGCCGGTCCAGCGTACTTGTATAGAGGTCAGTGCTGCTAATGAACCATCATTTTATATGACAGAATAAATAAATAAAATGTTATATACAATTAGTATTTATAAAAGTTAATGAATTACAATTGAAAAAATCATTTTTAACTTGCATGAAGATGTCTCGAAATTCCTTATAAACGTTTCTGTACTTCTTTGTAGCAGCGTTCTCGAAAAAATCTAGAGCTTCTGTATCGCTTTCTTTGCGGTTACTTCTTCGAGTCAATTCTTCAATGTAATCAATGGTGTCTTCCTGATTTGCCCAATTCGTGATACTGTTATAAACTTCAACATTTTTGTAATAGCCTTTACATTGTTTTTCGTGTCTAGTACGGTAGTGTTTCAACATAATCTGGCATTCCTCATCGTACGTCTCAGGCTTACAACTGGCTAGTACGTCGTTAATTGGCTGTAAATAAAAGATAAGTTTAGTGGCGGTATATGAATATCCCCTGCCCCATATCCCGTGGGTGCCGTAAGTGGCGACAGGGAAAACTAAAACAGGCGATGGGCAGCAGCACCTTCCTGATAATAACTCAAAATATAAAAAAACTGCGGTTGACAGCCCGCTCACCAAGTGTGTCGACTATGGCAATATGCTATGGCACATGCTATGAGGCAATCTATGGGGGAGGCCTATGTTCAGCAGTGGACTTTTATAGGCTGTAATGGATGCATTAATGGATGAAAAGATAATATAGGTAATAATAATATAACAAATATTCTTTGAATTAAATTTTAGGATTCCTTGCAGATGGCAGCACCCAGCCAGCCATCTTTTCTATGGAGACGGTCCAAAATTGTATGAAGCGTAGGCTTGGTTGTGTACAAGTAGGGAAATAAATTAAAATGATATATTATACCACTTTTGGTCATTCAAATGCACGAATTTGCCTTTGTTTAAGTGCTAATAATATTTTATTTTTACCAAAAAATGCAACACTAATTGCGAGTTGTCGTTTTGACGTTAGCTGTCAAATGTCTTGAGATGATTAATTAATTTATTGACAGATATTTGAATTCCGAAATGTTGTTTTCAAAATGCGTCTAATAACATAAGGAAACATATTTCTTTACATACCTGTCTAGTGATTCAAAACGTGATACCACGAAACATATTTCTTTATACCTGCCTAGTGATTTAAAATGTGATACTACATCTGTAGAGATGTCCGATATCAACAAAATCAAAATCTTACGTAAATCATGAAATCCTTAAAACATAAGCCGAGTCAAACAAGTAGTGACAGATTTAAATTCCAAAAAAAAAAAATCGACAAAGAAATGCAAAATTAACTCCACAAACAAGCTCGAAATAAACAAAAAAAATATCTAAGGATACCTCTACTTGTAGAGGAATCCTCCGAGTGGCCAACGGCATCACTGGCTGTTTTAGCGTGTGGTGACGGCTGAAGATGACTTTGATGAGAGATCCTCCCGTCGGAGTCAGGCGCGAAGAAGCTCACTGCGTTCCGTCTGTGACCGGGAGAACCAGTACCTTTGGGAGACTGAAGTGCTATCAGTTGCGCTGCTCAAGACTAGTCTGGACTTCTGAGTAAAGCTTTACCAGGTAACTCATTCCGGAGGGTAGCGGATCTGAGGCACGGACTTGTCATTGGCCGACCGTAGGTAGTTGGGCCCCCAAGTAGAGTGTCAGCCACGTGCTGCCCCTCCAACTCACGAGAAATTCCGAAATGCTCCACCGTGCCAGTTGGCGACTGGATGAGAGGCCTCGGTGGCGATTTTGGGGACTCGGGTGTCCCCGCAACCTCCAAATGAGTAATCCTTTGGAGACCACACCGGTAGAGAAAAAAAATCGGTTAGCTAAGCTCTTGAGTCTTCAGTCGGTATATTGAGAGGCGCCTCGGTTTGTCACCTGTTACCCTACCCAACAACACCGAACTAAAAAAAAAAAGTTAAAAAGAAGAATGTGGTTAATCAACGACGGCACTTCTTCCCACTCAAAGTGCATCTAATGAACATCGTAGGGTTGCACACTAACCTCGATCTGATCCACCACCACTTTGAGACCTATTCTTCTTAATGGAGACGCAGATAGCAACTCCGTCCGACGTGGCGTACCTTAACTACCCGGGTTACTTAAATGTAAGTTAAAATAGCGTGCTGGGGTCTGTATGTACGTCCACGAGGACATTTGCTGTTGGCGCCTCCGTTGCTTTGAGGTTTCAGGAATTTCTGCAGTATGGCTTTCGGTCATCCCTCTATGCCTGGGTCCGTCAATTGCACAGCGGAGACCAACAGACAATCAGTTTCATTGAACCCAACAACGGTATTCGTCTACGGAGCTAGTTTTTCTCGGGGATTTTAACGCCCACCATAAAGAATGGTTGTTTCTATACGAGAAAACTGACCATGTTGAGAGAGAGTGACACGTGAACTTGCGTTATCGCTAGATCTCATTTAGCTGGTTCAAGTAGCCACGTGGGTATCAGATGTAGATGGACATACATCCAATTACTTGGACCTTCTGCTGACAATAGGCCCAAACAGGCACTCGGTATCAGTCTCAGCACCGCTTCGATCATCCAATCACTATCTGGTGAAATCCCTATAGATCATTTCTCCTCCAGATGATCGTCCAGCGGGCAGGAGTGGAGTATGCCGATACGAGTCAGCAGACTGGAGTGAGATGCGGCATTTTTTTGCATCCTATCCGTGGCGGCAAGTGTGCTTCTCTTCAGATGAACCCTCATGCTCTGCCCTTCTCTCGCGATCGCAAAGTTAGGGCTCGGAAAGTTCGTTCAAAGAAGATAGCCTTTAATTCTGCTTCCAAGTCCTGCAAACGGGTTCTCCGCAGGGCATGATTCGACCATGTCAGTCTTATAGGGACCAGACTTGCTTCCTACCCTCCTGCTGGTTGCAATTTTGGTCCCTGGCGAAGGCTATCAAATCCAACTTCTGTCATCCCTCATTGCCACCCATGCAGAAACTTGATGGAACACTGGCTCACTACGCGACTGTGAAAGCAGATTTATTTGCATCCCTGTTTGCGAGCAATTCTCGTCTAGATGCTGGCTCTAAACAACCGCCAACTCCAACTCGCTGTGATTCTTCGATGCCGAAGGTCACTATCCACATGAAAGAGGTACGTAGAGCTTTGCAAAACCTAGACGTGAATAAGGTCAGTGGACCTGATGGTATTCCTGTAAGGGTACTTAAGCATTGTGTACTTGAGTTGTCTCCTGTTCTGACGCGCCTGTACCGCCTTTCTCTTAAAACTCGAACAATGCCAAAATCTTGGGAGCTTGCCAATATGCAACCTGTACCCAAGGAGGGTAGTCGTGCCGATCCCTGTAACTATCGACTAATCGCCATCAACTCTGTAAAATTATGGAAAGGGTATTGAACAGTAAGCTGCTGACATACCTTGAAAGAAATGACCTCCTCAGTGGCCATCAATATGGTTTCCGATGGGGACGGTTTACTGGAGATCTTCTTAGGTATGTCACGCATTTCTAGGGCGACGTCATCGAGAGGAACGGTGAAGTTCTCGTAGTTTAACTCGATTTCTCGAAGGCTTTTGACAGGGTTTAGCACGCAAGTCTGCTGAGTAAGCTTCCTAATTACGGCATTCCCGCCTAATTTTGCAACTGAATATCCGACTTTCTGAGTGAACGGGCGATCAGGGTAGTTATAGATGGCTGCTCTTCTGACTTTTTTTGAAAGGAGACGGTCGGCGTATTAATACCGGAGTTCCGCAGGGGTCTATTCTCTCTGCAACTCTTTTCCTGCTGCACATCAATGACCTACGTCTACCAGGTATTGGGGGGTATGCAGATGACAGCACATTCACAGAGAGATTTATGTCCAGTGCAAAAGACGGAGGGGCAGTAATACGTTCACTCAAAGAGGTCATGGTGCAGCGGGTAAATGTGAACGTAAGTCTTGTTTCCCAGTGGGGTGACGACAATCTGGTCACTTTCAATATCGCCAAAACGCAGGCCTGTCTGTTCTCGGCAAAACCTCTTTGAGGTGCGTGTTAACAGACTTTTCCTGGGCAATTTCGCTCCATCGTAGACATCTTCTTTGCTCTCGGGCCAGATGGAGGTTGAGAGAGAGCCCATTTTTAATAATAAAAACAATTATACCAGAACGTTGAAAAGCTCAGTTTCTACGCGGCTATAAGTGTTGTAAAACAATCGAAACGTCAGGAAGTAAAATAAAAAAAAATATGTAAAATTAAATGATAAAATTTTTCTCAATAAAGCATCATGTTTTAAATAATTAGCCAGTATCAAAAACCCATGCAATGAAATACAAGATCAACAATTTTATGTTTAAACGTTCATACAAAGTGGTTAAACCTCAAATGTGCTAGTGGAAAATGTACTTAGAAGTAGAACTGACTATAATCATGATGTTCAAGAGTCCACTCTTCAAGTGCAATGTGAATGCACTCAAGCACGTAGCGCGGGTTTGTGATTTCAGTAAAGATTTGTACCGCCAAGGGAAAATCTCGAGGAGAAATCTTCACGCTCGTGGATTTACTTGGGCGGTTGCGTGTCTTTGAAGAAAACACAAAAGGTTTTTTTGCTTTTGTAGAATAGCTTTTAGTTACCACTGTAAATGCAATAGTAATATATGTTTTTTTATCATTTGTTATAAATGAGGTTAGAAATAAAAAGATACAAAGAAGTCAGAGTAGAACTGGAAAATACTACTTGTTTTAGCAATATAAACTATAAAGTACAGTTCAGGCAATTAGCTTGGATTAGTTATTCCACGAGTCTTAATCGATGTCGTGATTCTGAGATTTTGTTCTGCTGTTTGTTTGCATATGTCATATACTTTGATGTGACTGTCTCGTTGATCTCGTGATCGTTACGCGGCTGCTAATCATGAGGTCCCGGGCTCGAATCCCTTCAAATCCCGGGTTGGGACAAAACCGAGTTAGTATTAAGATTTTCTGTCAATTAATTCTCTGCAGCCCGGATTCAATCAATTCGAAGTTGGTATTTCATTTCTCACGTGCCTCGGAAAGCACTTAAAAGCCGTTGGTCCTGCGCTTATTCTGTTTTCAAATAGAGAGTACACCCGTGGTTCTACTCTCACTCGATATTCCTGCCTTGGGCAGATGACTAGCTCTGTCGAAATTGGCGGCAGTGACTGAAATCAGGTCCGGGGGACATGGGATCAGGGGGTGCCATGTCTCTGACATTAAACCTATAATAAAGTTATAGGCTTGGTGACAGAGATATTATAATATATACTATAATCTATAATCATGTTATCTGATGTTTACTTCTAACTGCTTACTGCCAGAAATAATATTTTTCTTTTAATAATCCAAAAACACTTCTAAAACATTATTTATTATTATGTTTATCAAGAAATGTAAAAATTAAGTATTATCTACCATGTATCGATAATTGCAAATGTTTTAAAAAG